TTGGAGTCCGGGGGTGTCCAGGCTGTTCTGGGCGCCCCCACGTTTCCCTTCCGGCCGCGGCGGGCGGTGTCTCCCGTTGGAAGTTCAGCTCAGAGGGTGGGACTTTGTGGATCCACGGAGACGGGACAAACAGTGAGAGCAACGCCATGCAGGTTGGGGCGCGCGGTGTGTGGGACCCTCCTGCTGCTTCGACCCCTGCCCCTGCCCCCATCCGTCAACACCAAACCAGGCGCTCCCAAAGGACCCCCACCCCAGGCCCTGAGCAGCGGCCTTCGGCCACCTCCTGGGCATGGAGAAGGCCCTGTGGCGAGGTGGGGTGACAGCTGGGTGCCAGCGCTCATGCACTGGGGGGGGCCGGCTCTTTGTCCCGCTGGGGGCATGTCTATGAGGTCCCCACCCAGGCCCGGTCCTGACCGGAATGAGCTCCTTCTGCTGGGTGCACAGCAGTGGGTTGTGTGTCTCGGCCCGGGGGGTGGGGCCTGGGTCTGGAGGCCCCAGCCCCATGCTGGGAACCCCCACCCCCCACCTTGGGACTTCCTGGCAGAGACAGAAGATTCGAGGATGAAACTGGCTTTTCAGGTTTGGCTCAGCTGGGTGCTGCTGCTGGGGCAGTCCCTGGCGGGGTCTCCCCACCCCACGGAGCCAACCCCTCCCCCGCCCCCTGGGCCCCAACTCTGAACTGTGAGTAGCTGGGGGTCCTAGCATCTGGCTGTGGCTGAAGGGGCGCCTTTCACCACCATCATTCTGGGCACGCTGGGTCCCTGAAAATGGGGCTGGGCTAAGTGGGGCCCAGGAAGTGCTGGCCCCAGACCTGGCTCAGAGCCCCTTCCAGCAACGCCCCCAGCCTCCAGGAGCCTACCTGCCTCCCACTGCGCAGACAGGCGGACCGGAGGCCACAGAGCCGCTCCAGTCAGTCCCTCAAGCAGCTTCACATAGATACACAGATACCCCTACCCCAAGGGAGAGCCAGGGTTGGCCCACCCACCACCATGGGGAGCTTGCATCTGAGGGCTTTGGTTCAGGGAGGGTGCCCAAGCTCCCTCCTGCCCTTTAGGGGCCACCCTGGGCCTTCCACCAGGATCCTCCCAGCCCCGACAGCTCCTCAGGGTTCCCTCAGTTGTACCTGTGGAGCCTCAGCCCCTCCCTGGGGTCCCCCCACCCACCCCGCTCCAGTTACCCCCTGCCCCCACTGTATCTATGACAGGATTGACTCTCAGCCCAGGCTCAAATTCCTCAGCTTCTGGCTGGAGACAGGCCTGCTTCCTGGGCTGGGTGTGTTTGGGGGCCCTCCCTCCTCCCTCAAGAGATGCCCTGGGTGGCAAGTAGCAGGAATAGAGGCCTAGGGGCCCAACAGCCCCCACAGCCCCAAGGCTGAGGAACCCAGGTGGTCAGCGCTTTCCCCGGGAACTTTGGCTAGGGTCTGCAGTGCCAGCAGACAGTGTCCCTCTCCCCCAATCCCTTGGCAGGCAGAGCCCAAGGCTTTTAACCTACTTGAGGTTCTGTGACCTGTTTTCCTGTTTTATACATAAGAGCCCTTCAGGGCCTGTGACAGTTCAGAGGGTCAGGCAGGGTCAGGACTGAGGCACATGCAGGAACTCGGTTCCCCTAGGGCCTCCTTTCTGGTCCTGTCTGATGTGGGGCCACCCCAGAGGGAGCATGTATGTGTTTAGTCACGGGTCCTTCCAGGCCTGTGTTCTGGGATTTGGCCTCTCCCTGTTCCAGCTGGGGGTGTGGGGTGGGGTGGGGTGTGGCAGGCTTTCACTTAATTCTGGGGCCCAGCCAGACCCCAGAGTGGGGACCCAAAGTGTCCATCTCAGAGGGCAGGACACCTGCATCTGCTCTTATAGAATGTGAGCTCCAGCCCTTTGCTGGCTGTGTGGCCTGGGCAGGCCGCCCAGCCTCTCTGGGCCTCTGGTTAGGCCTGTGTGAGGCCGTTGGGTCAAGGTTTTCATCTTGGCTGTGCAGCCCCAGGAGCTGTGTGTGGGCTGGGCACTAGACTGTGCCCTCCCCCTCCTTGGTGGGCTTCCTCTCTGCGCCCGTGCCTCGTCCTGGGGGCTGCCAGCCGGGCTTCTGCTCAAAACCACGTTTCTACTTTGGAAAAGCAGAGGTGAATGTCTTAGGGTCTGGGATCATCTGAGGGGGGCCTTGTGTTTGCAAAGCGCCTGGCAAGTGTTAGTTCCCCCCACGATGTTGTTTACAGATGAGGAAACTGAGGCATAGAGAGGCGAGATGCCTTCCCGTGGCCACACAGCAGCACGTGTGGAGAAGGACTGGATTCTGGGCTGTTGGCCCCTACCCCAAGGGGGAGCCAGGGTTGGCGGTCAGATTATGCATCAGGCAGAGGTTGGGATCAGAGACCAGGGTGCAGGTGAGGTGGGCAGAGGAGCCAGCCCCTCTAGCGACAGCTCGGGTGAGCTGAGGACACGTCTGGGCAGGTGTCCCAGGGTGGGGCCGTTGCTCCAGCTGACCTCGGCGGGCCAGCAGACAGTCCCCTGGGTGGGGCGGTGCCCAGGCCTAGCGGGTTTGGCTCTAAGGCCGGGCCGTCCGCTCTGCCTCCAGCCACCCCTGCTGGAATCATCCTGTGGGCATGTGGGGCAGGCGGGAGCCCCATGTTGGTGTCTCTCAGCCTTTCTCCCACTCACGACTGTCACCACAGCCCTCACCCTGTTCTCTGCGCTGCCTCGAGCACCCAGTCAGCACCAGCCTCTGTGGTCCAATGGCTGAGTTGTGGATTCACGGAGCTGTCAGTCTACTACTGCCTGCCGACTGCAGCATGGCTCTCGGCTCTCAGCTAAGACTCCTAGGGGCGCCTGGGGGCAGCAGTGGGGCTGGACATCACTGTCCCGGCTCCTCCACCTGCACTGCGGTCAGACTGGATGGTCCCCAGGCCCATCCCAGTCCGCAGACCTGAGTCATTGGGACCCTCTCCTTGCCTGGGGCTCTGCCCCCACGTCCGCAGCAGTCTCCCTCTGAACTGCTCCACAGGGCTTCCACATGCAGGGTTAGGGTTAGGGTTTTGCTCAAAGCCATGTGCCATGACCACAGTGGCTCCTGCAGGATCCAGGCCTGGGTCTTTGTTCCTGTGCCCTGACTCCTCCTGAAGTTTGGAGCCCTATCTGGCCACAGTTTGTGCCTCCTGGTGGACTGAGCCCTCTGGTGTCTGACAGTGCTGGTCTCCAGGGGAGGGTGGCTGTGAGCTGTGTGACACTGCACTGATGGGTCAGTGGCCCATGGCCTCATGTCTGATGCTGTGGTGATTCGGCGGGAATTCCCCATGAGGGGCTGCCTGGAACAAGAGCCCACTGTCAGCTGTGGCAGGGGGAGGTGGACACTGAGCCCACTGTCTCCGCACAGAGTGCCCTCCCAGCCCAACCCTTTGTCTAGCCTGAGCCTCCCCCGCCTGTCTGTGGCCCTCTGGGCTACTGTGGGCCCCCCTCCTCCACAAATCCCATGCACATGAGGTCCAGATGGGGAACGGGGCACTCAGGGGTGAAGGTGGGGCTGACCAGGCCCCGCAAACCCTCCTGCCACTGCCCCAGGACAGTGGAGGGCTGGGGAGGAGGGATGAGGGTGTGGGTGCAGGCGGGGGGGGGCCCTCTGTCCCCTGCCTCCCTGCGCTTTCGTGGATACTGCCCGCTGGTCAGCTCCTCCTTCCAGGCCCCAGGGTGGGGTCATCTCCTTCCGGAGCTCCCCTCACCCAGCCCTCTGGAATCTGGGTGCAGCCCTTCTTCTGTGCAGGGAAGAGGCAGGGCCAGGCCTTGCAACAGGAGGGGGTGTGGGTGAGGAAGGGCCACGGAGGCACCCTGGAGGCGTGAGTGGTCCGGTATCAAAGGGCCCTCAAGTCCTAAGCAGGGAACCCACTGGATGGTGGGGATGCTCCTGGGGTGGCAGCCTTGCTGGCCTCTGAGTCCCAGCAGCAGCCTCCCTTCCCCTCTGCACCTGACAGCAGCTTCCTGGGGGCATTGGCCCCTTTTCAGGCTAAGTCACGTGGTGGTTCGTGGGCCAGTGAAGGCCCTGCCCAGCAGCCTGACTGAAGGCAGCACAGTCCCCTGAGTTGCTAAGGAGATCCTTATCTTGTGCAGTGCCTGGCGCTGACCCACAAGGCCCCAAGGGGCACGCATGGCCCTGGGGGTCTGAATAATACTGCCTGTCCCCTGAGCTCATTTCACCTCTGCTGGGGTGAGGGACCCAGGACACCTGAGCACCGGGGACAGAAAGCCCAGCTGGGTGATAGGTTCCAGCTAGGTCTTGGTGCCCAGGCAGGTGGGGGTGGGGTGGCTAGGGCGGCATCGGGGAGCGTGGGCTTGCTGCTTCACTGGGCACATGGCGACCCCTGGTGGTAACATCTGGGTCTGCACCCTGGTGGTGCGGCCCGGTCTGTGTGCCTGTGTGTGCTCCCTGGCCTGGGAGGTCACACCCCTCTCCTGTTATGCCCCTGGTCTGCATGTGGCGCCGGGCTGTGGGATTGACTGGCCGCATCCTGTCCCACCCGTCTGGACCCCATATGGCAGGCACTTAGTGGCCTGTCTTGGCCGTGGCCTTGGGAGCACCTCAGGCAGTCTGCGCCCCTCCTGCCTGCCTCCTCATCATTTTCTTGATCCTTGGCTCAGGCATCACGTCTCAGGACGGCTTGGCTGTCCCAGCCGACTGTCATGCCACTCAGCACTGACTCTAGTCTATTGTGGGTCACACAAGCTAAGAGGGTAGGATCCTTGACTGTCCTTTCTCGTTTCTTCACTGGTGTCTTGCAGGCACCAGGAACAAGGCCTGGTCTGTAGCAGGTACTCAGATATTTGCCAGGTGGGCCTGGCTGGTGTCAGGAAGGCCTGTGGGGGAGCGCATCATCAGAGAACCCTGGCTGGGCCCCATGGGGCTCCCGTGCTCCCATCTGCCCCCCTCTGGGCCAGGCCTGAGCATCAGCAGTCAGAGGTCAGCCCCACAGTCATTACTGAGCCATGCCCTGTGCCCCCAGGCCTGCCAGAGCCCAGCCCATCTGAACCATGAGTGAGGTACGAAGGGACAGCACCAGCAGCCTTCAGCGCAAGAAGCCGCCCTGGCTGAAGCTGGACATCCCGGCTGTGGCCCCCCCAGCTACTGAGGAGCCCAGCTTCTTGCAGGTAAGCCTGGGCCAGCAGGGGTCATGAGGATGCCCTGATCAGCTCCCTCACCCTGAGCCCTTTCCCAGCCCCTGAGGCGCCAGGTTTTCCTTCGGAGTGTGAGCATGCCAGCCGAGACCGCCCGCGTGCCCTCGCCCCACCCTGAGCCTAGGCGGCCTGTGCTGCAGCGCCAGGCGTCCATCACACAGACCATCCGCAGGTATCACTCCCGGGTCAGCTGCGGGTGGGGGCAGGCCCTCCCATCAGGCTTCATCCTTGCTCTTGGTCCCCGCCTCAGCCTGCCCTCCTCCTCTGGAGCCCACTGCATCCCCTCACCCCTCTGCTCTCCTCAGTGTGCACTCTCTCGTTCTGTCTCCCCCACCACCACTGCTGGGCCCTCTCCCAGCAGCCGACAGGTACGCTTTGAGCGTGTGCACACTCTGCCCGTCTGGGGCCCCCGGGCTGCCCGAAGGGCCCTCCCACAGCGCCGGTCTCTCTCTCGGTCCCTGCTCAGGTACTTGCAGGGCATGTGTGTGCTGACATGTGCATGGCATGTGGCCCTTTGGGAGCTACCAGCACAGCTGGCAGGCCCTGGGGCTCCTAACAGCAAGTGCTGGCCATGTTTCTTGTGCATGTCCAAGCGGTGTGGGCAGCCTGCCAGGTTGCAGAGGCTGCTGTCTGAGTCTGTGATGTCCCTGGTTGTGGCTGCTGCCTGGTCCGGACCCTTGGGCTCACCTAAGGGCGAGCCTCAGCTTCTCCCCTGTGTCAGGGATGGGTGAGGACCCACTGAAATAAATGCGCACCTGAGCAAGGTGTCTGCTTCTAGCGGGAATTTGGGGATGGCTACTGCTCTGTGGGGTAAGCGAGGTTCGAATCCATACCTCCGTCCTTTCAATCAGACCTAGGCCCTGGAACCCCTGCCCTTGGGAGTGATCAGGGGCCTGAGGTGACGCCACATGCCCAGGAGGATGGCTCGGGGGCTGGGGAAGGGGGCCTGGTGGCCTGTGCTGAGGTCCTCCCGTGGCAGGGGCACAGCCGACTGGTTTGGCGTGAGCAAGGACGGTGACAGCACTCAGAAGTGGCAGCGGAAAAGCATCCGCCACTGCAGCCAGCGCTATGGGAAGCTGAAGCCTCAGGTCATCCGGGAGCTGGACCTGCCCAGCCAGGACAACGTCTCACTGACCAGCACGGAGACGCCACCCCCGCTGTACGTGGGGCCATGCCAGCTGGGCATGCAGAAGGTGTGCCCTCGTGCTGCTGCCCCAGCAGGCCCCTCATGGTGTGCAGTGGACCCCCACCCCTGCACTGTGACTGGGGCCAGTGTCCCGAGCAGAGGTCTGGGGCGGGCGGGCACAGAACAGATGGTGATGTGATGGCCCTGAAAGATACAGTCTGGGAAGGGGGGCCTCAGAGGAGGGGGCAGGGTCCTGGGCTATGCCTTCGGGCCAAGGAGAGTATCCCTGCCTATCCCTTTGCCTGTGCAAAGGCCCGACGGATTGGGGGAAGGAGCCCCTGGGTGCTGTGGGTGGGCGTGAGGCCCCTACGTAGCTGACTAGGGTCTCACAGGGAGGAGGTGACCCCTCTCCATGCAGGTCAGCTGGGGGGCAGGGGCACCCTCATGGTGCCCACCCCAGCCCCCGACTCCACAGTCCTCTCCCCTACATGCAGATCATCGACCCCCTGGCCCGGGGCAGGGCTTTCCGCTTGGTGGAGGACACCTCCGATGGCCTGAGTGCCCCCCACACACCCATCACTCCCGGTGCCGCCTCCCTCTGCTCCTTCTCTAGCTCCCGCTCAGGCTTCAACCGGCTCCCCCGGCGGCGGAAGCGAGAGTCCGTGGCCAAGATGAGCTTCCGCGCAGCCGCGGCGCTGGTGAAGGTGGGTTGGGTGAGGTGAGGGGTGAGGTGAGGAGGTGGAAAGGGGTCGCACCCTCACCCCCTTGCCCACCCCTCTAACCCCCAGGGCCGCTCGGTGCGGGATGGCACGGGCCGCAGGCTGCAGCGTCGCAGCTTCACTCCCGCCAGCTTCCTGGAGGAGGACACGGCTGACTTCCCTGAGGAGCTGGACACGTCCTTCTTTGCCCGGGTAAGAACCCGGCGGCAGGGCTGCCCCCACCTGGTCCGCCTCGGTGCCCCTGACCGCGTGTGTTTGCTCAGGAAGGAGTCCTCCACGAGGAGCTGTCCACCTACCCGGATGAGGTGTTCGAGTCCCCGTCCGAGGCGGCACTCAAGGACTGGGAGAAAGGCCCGGAGCAGGCAGACCTCACGGGCGGGGCCCTGGAGCGCAGTGAGCTGGAGCGCAGCCACCTGATGCTGTGAGTGCAGCGCGCTCTTGGGCACCAGGTCGCGGGGCGTCTCACTGTCCCTGGGCGCCCAGCTCTGCCACTGGGGCCGCCCCCTGTGCAAGGGGCGCTGCAACCCAGGGCCCAAGGGCCGGATGGGGACAGTGGGGGCGTCTGTCCCTGGTACCTGCCTCCTTGCCCTGCTGGAAGGGGTGCAGCTGTTGCTTTCCACAAGGAAGGGTCAGCGCAGACAGACGGGCGCCCTGGTCCCACGGGGTGTGGCGGGGCGGTATCACTGCGGCAGCTGGGAGTCCGGGCGGGAGCTGAGTGCGGTGCCCCCCAGGCCTCTGGAGCGCGGCTGGCGCAAGCAGAAGGAGGGCAGCCCCGCAGCCCCGCAGCCCAAGGTGCGCCTGCGGCAGGAGGTGGTGAGCGCAGCGGGGCCGCGGCGGGGCCAGCGCATCGCTGTGCCAGTGCGCAAGCTGTTTGCCCGGGAGAAGCGGCCGTACGGGCTGGGCATGGTGGGCCGCCTCACCAACCGCACCTACCGCAAGCGCATCGACAGTTACGTCAAGAGGCAGATCGAGGACATGGATGACCACAGGTCGGTGGGCGGGCTGCCCGGGGCCGTGGGCGGGGCTGGCTGGGCGGGACCTGCTGATGCTCCGCCCCGCAGGCCGTTCTTCACCTACTGGCTCACCTTCGTGCACTCGCTTGTCACCATCCTGGCGGTCTGCATCTACGGCATCGCTCCCGTGGGCTTCTCGCAGCATGAGACGGTGGACTCGGTGAGCCTCGCGCCTTCCCCGGCTGTGCACCCCTCTCGCGGCCCCGAGAGGGAGAGGGCCGACGGGGCGCGGCCTGACCCTGCTCGCCCCGTCACGCAGGTGCTACGGAACCGCGGCGTCTATGAGAACGTCAAATACGTGCAGCAGGAGAACTTCTGGATCGGGCCCAGCTCGGTGAGCGCGGCAGGCGGGCGGGCGCGAGCGAGGGCGGCGGGCTGGGCAGGGCGAGGGGACCTGGCCGCAGCTCCACGCCCTGCTCGCTCACCCGCAGGAGGCCCTCATCCACCTGGGCGCCAAGTTCTCGCCCTGCATGCGCCAGGACCCGCAGGTGCACAGCTTCATCCGCGCGGCTCGCGAGCGCGAGAGGCACTCGGCCTGCTGTGTGCGCAACGACCGCTCGGGCTGCGTGCAGACCTCGGAGGAGGAGTGCTCGGTGTGTGCGGCAGCCACCCCCTTCTCCGCGCTGCGTGTTCGCGTGGAGCCGTTCACTGTTCCCCGCCTTCATGGTGCACTGCCTTGTCTGTGCGGGGCCCCTGTGCATTTGCTCCTCCGCCCCCCAAACCGCTCCTTCACCCGGCACCCCAGGACGACCACTTTAACGTGTGTCTTATGACTGGGGTGCTGCCTTTCAGCATGTGTCGTGTTTGTGTGCACGGGCCTCAGTCAGACTTAAGTTTGCTCACTAAGCCTCATATGTGTATTTGAAAAAGACACGCTCGTTTTCACAAGGGGCAGTAGTTTACCCCAGTTCCCTGATTTCCGACAGTTTTCTGATTTTAATCTAGCACCAATTATGCTGTTGAACAAAATCTGCCCTGAAATCCACGTTCATTGCCCGAATGTAAATTCCTGGAGATTGAGTTGTGGGGTCAGGGTGCCAGGCTGCACCCAGGGAGTATCTGAGCTTGATTTGACCCTGCCTGAGTCGCCTTACCACCAACTTGGAGCTGAGCCCTGTGTCTCCCACAGTCCACACTGGCAGTTTGGGTTAAGTGGCCTGTTCACCCCAGTGCCCCAGACCTCGCTGGGCACAAGAGGCAGTTTGGTTCCGTCTGCCACCAGGACCCCAGGTTAGTCCCCATGACTACTCCCTCGTTCACTAGGAGGGGAGGGCCATCAAGCAGGCAGGCTCTAAGCAGGTCTGACTAAATGCTGGTCACTCAGGGTGTGCGATGAACCCTCCTCTGAAGACCCTCATGAATGGCCTGATGACATCACCAAGTGGCCGGTGAGTAGAGGTCCTGGGGGTGTCACCCTTGTCATGGTGGGTAGGGAGCCACATCTTACCCCCCAGCCTATCTCATGGGCCCTGTCTCAGCTCCACCACGTCTGAGTGCTATGGCCTGGCCTTCGCCAGCCTGTCAGCAGTGCCAGCCTCTGAGCAGATGGTCTGAGCTAGGTTGGCAGAGACATGGAGGTCATGTGTCATCATCCCAACTACAGAGATAGGCCAGCTGAGGCTTGTACGAAGTCTGTTGCCTGTACGAAGTCAAGGGAGGCCTGTCTCCCCAAGCATTGTGTGGGTCCCAGGGTTGGGGGAGGCCCTGACCCAGCTGCAGCTCATCCCCATCTGTGACCCAGATCTGCACCAAAAACAGTGCTGGGAACCACACCAACCACCCCCACATGGACTGTGTCATCACGGGACGTCCCTGCTGCATTGGCACCAAGGGCAGGTGTGTACACGTGTGTGCAGAATGCATGGTGTGTGTGCATGTGCTTAAGTGTGCATGCATGCACATGGGTGCTTGTATGTGCATGCATGCCTGGGTGTGCATGTGTGCCTGCAGGATGGGAGACGCACGCACACACGTAGCTGGTCCTGGGACTCGGCAGCGGCCAGTGGCTATGCCCTTCTCTCTCACAAAGTTCTAAAATGATCCAAGACACTGACAGGAATGGGGTCAACAGCCTGGACTTAGTTTGAGGCCATCAAACGCAGGTGGGTGGGGGTACACGCCTCTGCCCTCAGGGCCTCAGCGGTTCCCTCCCACATGGGGGCACCCTCCCACCCCCAGCCTGACTTTCCAGGTGTGAGATCACCTCCCGGGAGTACTGTGACTTCATGAGAGGCTACTTTCACGAGGAGGCCACGCTCTGCTCTCAGGTAGGTCTCGGAGCACAGGGTGAGCCCCTGCTCCCCCGCACAGGTGCTGACGGCCCCTCTGTGCAGGTGCACTGCATGGACGATGTGTGTGGGCTCCTGCCCTTCCTCAACCCCGAGGTGCCTGACCAGTTCTACCGCCTGTGGTTGTCCCTCTTCTTGCACGCAGGGCAAGTGACGCATTGGGCAGGGTGGGGTGTGCTGGGGAGTGGCCAGGCAGGGATGGCAGGCTCCCAAGTGTCCCTGCTGAACCTCTCCCCACCCCCCAGGGTCCTGCACTGCCTGGTGTCCGTCTGCTTCCAGATGACCATCCTGCGGGATCTGGAGAAGCTGGCGGGCTGGCACCGCATCTCCATCATCTACCTGCTGAGTGGCATCACCGGCAACCTGGCCAGTGCCATCTTTCTGCCATACCGGGCGGAGGTGAGCCGTCCTTCTGGGTGGGTGGCAATGCCTGCACACACCTGTCCACCTCCGGCCCGTGTCAGGCATGTTTGGCCCTTAGTTCCGACGGGCTCCAGGCCTGGGAGGTGGGGTGTGGCTTGAGGCCTAGGTTTGCACGGGTGCTCTGCTTCCCTGCAGGTGGGCCCGGCTGGCTCGCAGTTTGGCATCCTGGCCTGCCTCTTCGTGGAGCTGTTCCAGAGCTGGCAGATCCTCGCGCGGCCCTGGCGTGCCTTCTTCAAGCTGCTGGCTGTGGTCCTCTTCCTCTTTGCCTTCGGGCTGCTGCCCTGGATCGACAACTTCGCCCACGTCTCCGGGTTCGTCAGCGGCCTCTTCTTGTCCTTCGCCTTCCTGCCCTACGTCAGCTTTGGCAGGTTCGACCTGTACCGGAAGCGCTGCCAGATCATCGTCTTCCAGGCGGTATTCCTGGGGCTGCTCGCCGGCCTGGTGGTGCTCTTCTACTTTTACCCGGTGCGCTGCGAGTGGTGCGAGTTCCTCACCTGCATCCCCTTCACCGACAAGTTCTGTGAGAAGTACGAACTGGATGCACAGCTGCACTGAGCCAAGCCAAGGCAGGGGGCTGCGGCCGCGCTCCAGCAGGCCTGGAGCCCAGTGCCCAGGCCGCCCCTGCCCCTTCCAGCTGGCAGGACCGTAATGTTTCTGAACACAGACCTCTGTGCCTTGTTCACGACGGTTGGACCCCTCGTGCCGCCACGTTTGTTACACTAGCGCCCGTAATCACCTTCTAACCAGTCTCTTGACGACCACCTTACGTGGCCAGTAAATGAACGGGAGCGTTTTAGCTGCCATTACCTTGATCCTGGCTACCTCCTCCTTCCTGCTTCTGGCTGGGTGGCCATGGAGCGAAGTCTCTCATCTGAGTAGACATAGGGTGCCCCTCTTCTGGTGACTGGTAGGTGATGGTGGGGTGCCCCAGTGATGCCCTTGCTCTCAGCCCTGCTGGGGAGCCCTCCCCCACCCCCCACCCAGCCAGGGCTGGACAGGAGGCCACATCTGTTTGTCACATGCACTCTGCTCTGGTCCCAGGAGGAGAAACAAAGATAGCCAGTCTGCTTGTTCTCCTTGCTGTACAGTTCATGGCAGGAGCAGCACGTGGCCCGTGAACCGTGTGGCCATGGAGCTCAGGCGTAGCCACCCCAGACCTCAGGGCCCACCTGCTCCAAAGCCACTCCCTCCCCTCACCTCCCTAATTGGGCAGCACCCAATCCTCCTGCCCAGAGTACTGTTGTTTTCTGACTTTAAACGTTTATTGTATACACACAGCCACAACCACAGCCCTGTGGGGGTTCACAAGTAGTCAGGTGGGGGCCTCAGGAGGATCTGACAGCCCTGAGGTTCATGCTGATGGCTTCCGATGGGGGAGGAAGGAGGAGGCAGGGCACAGTTGGGGTGAAGATGTAACCTGCCTTTCTGTGACAGAGACAGAGGCCGAGGGGAAAAGCTTGACCCCCGTCCCTCTGTCCTCACTGGGGGCTCACTTTTGCCTCAGCTTCTTGATGAAAGAGACCTCATCCCGATTCCGGATGCCATAACTGAAAGAGAAGGAAAGGCAGGAAGTGTCTGTGAAAAAGAAGGGGGGCGCAACAAGTATGCTCCCAGGGAGGGAGGAGATTCACGCTGCCTAGCGGGTAGCCTCTCCCCGCTAAAAATCCAAAAACCCAACCCACTGCCATCGAGTCGATCCCCACTCAGTGACCCCCTTTGAGTTTCTGAGGCTGTAAATCTTTACGGAAGTAGATTGCCCGATCTTCCTTTTGCAGAGTGGCTAGTGGGTTTGAACCACCAACCTTGTGATTAGCAGTCTAGTGCCTTAGGCACTACGCCACTCCTCCCACTACACGCTCTCATTCCTTCCACCTGGTCCAGGTAGCCCCTCGGGACCCTGATGCTTTCATACCGGTGAGAGCCAGCCACCTCCTCTGCCTGCCCTTTCAGTGGGAGGGATGAGAGCTGGCCCCCGAAGTTCAGGGACATTTCCAGGAGGCCCTCCCTGTGGTAGAACATGGGTCCTAGAGCCCAGCGAGGACCAGCCCCTCCCCCAGCAGCTCCCAGTGTGCACAGGACTTACTCTCGGAGCTTCTTCCTGTCCTCTGTGAGCTTCTCGCCCGTGAAAGTCAGATAGTACGTCCTCCACACATAGGACCTGCAAAGGGGAGACTCAGGAAACAAAGGCTCTCTTCCTGCACTATGTGCTGACCAGGCCTGAGGCAGCTGCAGGGAGGTCTCAAACTGCTGCATGGGGGCCGCACACCTCGCGCAGAAACACACCGATGCCTAGCAGGAGCGTGAGGGAGGGGAGGGACACGACCAAGCTGCAGTGCCTGGAACCTGGGAGACCACTTCGGGCCACTGGAAACACCCAAAGGTGCCCCCAAATGATGCCTGCAGCCGCAGAGGCAGGAGGACGCAGGTGAGCGTGTAGAAAGAAAGCGGGCAGGAATCCACCAAAGTCCAGGCTGGGCCTGGTGTGCTAAAGCAATGTCCCCTCAGTCACAGCCAGGGGCCAGTGCGTGTGCCTGGGGGGCCTGCAAAGGGTCCTGCCCCACTCACCAGCTGATGTGCTGGATGCCCCCTTCGCGCTCCTGCCGCAGCTGCACGTGTCTCTGGATGGCCTTCTTCAGATCCAGGACCGCGGCATTCTGCACCACCACGACCGCTGCAACCAGGGACACAGATGGGAGAAGACCCCAGGTCGGTGGGCCCCACAGGCTAGCCTCAGGGCAGGCTGCCGGGGCCCTGATGCACCTTCAGGGAGGCGGGCGGCGGGCTTCGCTTACGCATGACCTCGCCGTCCATCTTGCACACGCGGACTGTCATGGCCTGGCCGTACTCCAGCGCTATCTGAGAGCTGACCTCCTCCAGCGTGACCTGCAAGAGGTGAAAGTGGGAAGCTGTCATCCCCGAGACAGTGCACACAACGAGCCAACAGCAGCCCAACACTGGTGCCCCCACAACAAAGCAATTACTGAGCTGGCCCCACAGCTCCCGATAATGGCCCCTGCCTCTGTTCGAGCTCCGTTTGCAGCACCAGGAGCTCACGTTCCACTCACATCTTCTAAGCTAACGGTTCAAAGTGGACACCCGCTCCCAAGAGGCAGGCTGGAGCGCGCCCTCTGAGACCCAGCCCCGTGCCGCCTCCAGCCCAGGGGCCGCAGCGCCCACAGGACCGAGGGGAAAGACCCGCCCTGCCAGAGCGCGCACCTGGATAGGCAGATCGCAGAGCAGGGGGTCCTGTACCACCATGGCGAGACCCTCCTGGAACACGTCCACCACCTCCGAGTGCGGCAGCGCCTCGTCCTCATCGTCCTCGGGCGCCTCGGGCCGCGCCTCGCGCTCGGCTACCTCCAGGTCCGCGTCGGCCGCCTGGCCCTCGGCCTGCTAGTCAGCGCGAAGGAGGCGAAGCGCGTCCATGCGGGACTGCGGCCCGTACACGGAAGTCGGCGCGCCATTGGCGCGCCTGGGGGCGGAGCGGCCGCCATACCCAATGAGAAGGGCGGGACGGTTATCGCAAGGCCCGCTGGGAGCGCGAGGCCAGCGTGCCTATTGGAGGGGCCCTGGGGCGTGGCCCTGCCTCGGCCAATGGGAGCGGGTATCGGAGGCGAGCGGTCGCTGAGGCTGTTGGGAATCGGGCGACCGACGGGGCTGCCGGGAACCAGGAGCTATGCTACTCTTCTGCCCGAGCTGCGGGAACGGGCTGATCGTGGAAGAAGGGCAGCGCTGCCACCGCTTCGCCTGCAATACCTGCCCTTACGTGCACAACATCACCCGCAAGGTGGGTCCCGCCGCCTGCTGTCTGCTCACGCCCGCGTGGGCACTGCCTCGTGACGCTCGCAGCCAGCCGCTCCTGCAGCGCTGTGCGGAGATTTCTGCAGCACGCTGGCTGGGTGCCCTGCTCCCCACTGCTCCGAGGCAGGTCCCAGCTGTCTATGCTCGGAAGCCTTCTGTGGTTCCGGGCCGGTTCAGGTGCTCCGGCGCGGACCTCGCCCGCCTGCTGCTCGGGTTTCGTCCGCTGACGTGCCCCTCCGTCTTGCCCACGTTGCCGCAGCAGCACCGGCTGCGAGAGTGTTGCTAGTGGTGTTGGGGCGCACGCTGCCTCAGAGCCACGTGACTCGGTGGTTGCGGCTTAAATGATTAACGGCACCCTCCCCATTTTGTCTTCCCGTTTTTTTTTTTTTTTTTAACGTGGCACTCGTCACCCTCACATGCTGTATAATTTCCGCACGTGTTTATTACCCCCGAAACATAAACGGTAGGAGGGCAGGGAACTTTGTTTATTCGTTAAACTTTTTTACTGTGATTTGGGTGCACATTTACCAAGCAGATTCGTTTGGCTTTCGACAATTGTTTCACGGCACCCATCACCAGCCCGACTATAAACAGCTCTCGTCCCATCGTGTCCTTCTCGGCCGTGCATTCCTGTCTGTCCAGGTTCCCCCGATGCCAGGGCTGCGTTTTTGATCTTTCGCGGTTGATTGCTGCAGGGGCTGCGTCTTACTGGGGTTGGTGTTCCGCCTGTAGGCCTTTGCTGCTGGGCTGAGAGCGAATCCACGCAAGTGAGCCTAGTTCCCGGCCCAAAGGATCACCCAGGGCCATAGTCTTGGGCGTTCTACCAGTCACTCTACTACAACCAGTAATTCTGGTCATTTTTGCTTTTCAATTGCACATTTTTTTCTCCCACTTTATCCAGGATCTCCTGTTTTGATCCCTTTCTGAGTGGTTGACATTGGTAGCTGAGTATTCTCTAGGTGTCTTGGTCTCTTGGTCATGTAGGCTGAGGTTCCTGTGGTCCATCAGACCATTGGAGTAATTGTTCCCATGTGACTGGTTTACTTTGCTCCAGGTGAGGGGACACGAGTAGTTGGCCACTGTAAAGCTTTTAAGACCACAGTCACTACTCACCAAAGGAGGATGTGGAACAAGATTTTTATGTACTGTGTTGTGGCAGTTCTGCTTGCTGTGCCCTGAGACCACGGTCCAGCCCCTGCAGGCCCTGGGGCGGAGGATTTTCTCTAGTAAGTTCTTTCCCGTGCCCTAGTCTGAACACCTGGAGTGGAACCTGCAGTTGAATGTTTAGTAGAAGAAGGCTGCGTGCTGTATTACAGGAGGGTGAGTGGTTCAAACTCAGCAGCCGCTCTGTAGGAGAAAGATGTGGCAGTCTGCTTCCGTAAAGACTACAGCCTTGGAAACCCATGGAGCAGTTCTGTGAATCAGAACGGACTCAAGGGCGGTGGGTTTGGTTGGTGTATTGCAACTGACACGATTTCGGCATTTCTCTTTGAAATGGAACGTTACACTCTTCAGAAGTAGAGTTATCGGTGCTGCCTCATCTTTGGTGTTTGTATACACTCCTTTAGAGTCCGGAACTATGGGAAGAATGCACCCTGATGTAATCCTGACGTTTCAGGGATGTGATAAAAATCGGGAAAGAAGCCGGGCATAACCTGCTCGGAGGGCTCTCGTGGCCTGGGCGGGGAGCGGCTGGGCTGCCCAGCTGAGTGCTGCTCTTCGGTTTCCATTTTACTTCCTTCTCTCATCTGGTTGTCAGCAGCTGGGAGAGGAGGAGGGCCACACCTAACCCATTTTTCTTCCGCTAAATGTTTTAGAGATCGCACTGTTCCAACTGCCTCTCTGCTCTTGATGGGCGACCTGATCAGAGTCTCTGAATTCTAGGGAGCATCAGGGCCTGGCCTGTGAGGCAGAAACTCTGTTGGAGGGAGCAAGGCTGGGAAGACATTTGGGGGCTGTGGTGGTTGGGTGGCCCAGGGTCTATACCCGCCATTACCTTGGCGAGTCTGAAGGCTTTGTTTGTCAGGTGACAAACCGGAAGTATCCCAAGCTGAAAGAAGTGGATGACGTGCTTGGAGGAGCAGCTGCCTGGGAGAACGTCGACTCCACTGCAGGTGAGGAAGCCTTTTCTTTTGCAAAGTTGTGGAGAAGTACGAGGCTGCCTGCTGCATCTCCATGTCAGAGTTTGTGATGATAGACTTACAGTGGGGCTTCTAAAAGTAGAAGACATATTTTTCCTTAAAAACTTATTTGTTACACACACAATATTGGTACAAGTCTTAGAGTCACACAGACCACTTAGATTCTCGGTACCGCCTGTTGTGGGACTTGGCCTCTCTGGGGCTGATACGTGTTCCTGGGTCACGTGAGGACAAAGAGAGCTGGATACCACTTGAGTTGAGGAAGCACCTGGAAGACAGTAGCTGTGGTCACAGTGGCAATAAAAACCAGAGTATAGGGAGAAAATAGGGTCTTTTTGTTTTAATGTAGATTTTTAAAAAATACCCAGGAGCGTTAAACAGCCTTCTCGGTAAAATCATTTATTTCACTCATTTCCGAGAGAGATGGCTGTGACTAGGGAGGAAGGAGAACCCCTGTAAGGAGGCTAACCTTTAAGGAGAAGGGGAGTGTAACTCTAGGCTAGCACTTCCTTTTACCCCACAGAGGGACATCCCGGTCACCCCACAGAGGGACAGCCTGGTCACCCCAGAGAGGAACAGCCAGGTCACCCCACAGAGGAACAGCCAGGTCACTGGGTTGGAGATTAGCGTCCACAGAGTTTGCACGGAATACGTGCCCAGCGTTTTTATGTACTAATGTTCTTTTGAGAGTGCTGTTGGTTTCTCCAAGTGACAACATGTTTATAGCCATGAGCCATAAGGCACTTGAAGGGGATGTGTGGTGGCATCTTGGTAAAGCAGGTTGAAGCCCAGCTGCCAGAATGGGCCCTTGAATGCCATGGGAAAGGAAGGTCAGAGTGGGTCCTTGTGGAATGACAGGATCCCAGTTGGGAAGCCAGGTGGCTTGTGTTCATGCCTGGGGGTGGGCAGTGCCCTTGCCAGGGAACTGTGCAAGTGTGGGTCCAGAGACAGCTTCTGTGTTCTCTCTCCAACTGGCCTCTAACCAGGTGTGAGCAGAAATGTGGGGCCCTGTGAGTGGAGGAGAGTTTTCAAGGTCCCTTGTGGTTCTAGCATAGTGGGAGTGATGCCACTGTTCATGGATTGACTGCCCTGCTCACCGGCCTGGCCTTCACTGAGGTGTAAGATGCCCTTGGTGAGGAAGGCTGGGTGAGCAGAGGTTCCCGCTGCCTCAGTGCCACTGACTCCGCACTCGTGCTGATCATGGACATTGTTTGTTGTTCTTATTGCCAGAGCCGTGTCCCAAGTGTGAACACCCTCGTGCCTACTTCATGCAGCTTCAGACCCGCTCTGCTGATGAGCCAATGACCACCTTCTACAAGTGCTGCAACGCCCAGTGTGGACACCGCTGGCGGGACTAGCAGCCAGGCTGGCCCCGCAATGGCCGTGTCTGGTCCTGTGTCACGGTGGACTCCTGGTGGGACTGTGAACTGTGTCCTGAGGGCCATGGGCCTTTGATGGTGTGGTGGTGAAGAGACAGGGAGTGTGGACACAGTCCATCTGCCAGTGGGAGTGGACAGCTCTGTTGACGTCCAGGCTGTTTTTCAGCTTGGAAAGGAATGTCCTCACCTGGGTCTACCCTGTTGAAGGTCCAGGTGGTCTCTGTGTGTTGAGCAATTGACGTTCCCTCAGCAACCCATTCTCTTCATAATCTGTGCCGTCTACACAGATAATAAAGTAAAACCTATTAACTCAGTACGTTACATTTCCCTAAATATTTAAGTTTTAATTGCAAAAGTATTTAATCAAAAACTTATTCTGAAAATAAAATGGAAATTATAGTATTATGTTCTCTGTGTTATAAATAAGCCTTAAAAAGTTGACAACATACTGCACAAGATTGATGACTAAGTTCTAAACTGGTTCTAACAGAACTAGTTCTAACTGATTCAGACCAGAAAAGCTAATAACATGGACTTAAATCTGTTTATTATTTCTAATCTTATTCCTTATTCACCTTTTAAACCTTCCCCAGTTTTCTTTTTTTTTTCTTTTGTACTGTGATTTTGGGAAAAATTTACAGAGCAAATTCACTTTCCATACAGCAGCTCACATACACTTTGTCTCATGACGTTGACTGCAATTTCCCGCAATGCAACAGCTCTCCTCCCACTTCCTCCCCTTAGTTACCCCCTCCCTGTGTCCATCCCTCCATGCACTCCTGCCCCCTGAGCTGTCTTCCTGTGTATACACAGCCCTTCTGTTCTCCCATGATTGATCTCTCCAAGGAGTGTATCTGCTTAATGTAAATGTTCACCTCCTATGCCTGTCTTTTGTTTGGCTGCAAGTCACAGGAGTGGGTTCAATTCCAGACCTGAAGGGCAGCTAGGGGCCATAGTCTCAGGGTTTCCACCAGGCTCTATCAGACCAGCACACCTGGTCCCCAATTTTCTTGTC